CCCCCTCTCCCCCCTCTCGCCTCTTTTGTCCCCCTCCCCCGCCCGCACCCCGCCCAGCACACAGTCCACCATGGAGATCGACGACGTCCAGCTCGACCTTGAATCGCTGAACTACGCGGCCACCCACGACGGTGGCGAGTTCGAGGACGACGGGTCCGCCGGCGTGGCGGCCATCGACCCGGAGATCGCCGGTGCCGGTGCCTCGGTGCCCTCCTTCCGCCCGCTGACGGCCGGGGAGATCAGCGGCGGCAAGCGCGAGTCCCGCAAGATCCCGGTCCCCGGGCATCGCTTCACCCCGCTCAAGGACAACTGGATGAAGATTTACACCCCGCTGGTGGAGCACATGATGCTCCAGGTCCGGATGAACCTGCGCAGCCGTCGCGTTGAGATTCGCGTGCGTACACCAGCCGCGCCCGCCCGGCCCCCCTCCTGGGCGCCTGTCTGTCCTCCCCCCCCCCCCCCCCCCCCCCCGGCCCCAGGGCCTGTGGGGGGGGGGGACTACGCCTGTGAGACCCTGTCGTCGCCTCCCTGCACCATATCATGTACTGACTGGCCGCTTGGGCGCCTCCCTTCGCCGGGCCTGCCGCAGACCTGCGAGGCCACCAACGACCCGGGCGCCATCCAGAAGGGCGCGGACTTCCTGCGTGCCTTCATGCTCGGCTTCGACGTCGAGGTATGTCGGTGCCCTCCTTTGCCTCCTGCCCTGCCCCGCGGTCTGCTAACATGAGTTCCGGCCCCTCGGTGCGCCACAGGACGCCATGGCCCTCCTCCGTATGGATGACCTGTACATTGATAGCTTCGAGATGAAGGATGGTATGTGTGCCGCGCACCGGTGCCGGGTCCCCTGCTCTTGGTGCCATGCGCCCCCTCACGTGGCGCTGCCCGCCCGCCTTCCCTGTCCTCTGACGTGTCCGGTTCCCCTCCTCCTCTCTCTCCCTCCCTCCTCCTCTCTCTGTGGCCCCTCTGTCGTCGCCGCCGCCGCCGCCGCCCCTGCTCGCCTCCAGTCAAGACCCTCAACGGCGACCACCTCGGTCGCGCGGTCGGCCGTGTGGCCGGCCACGGCGGCCGCACCAAGTTCACCATCGAGAACACCACCCGCACGCGCATTGTCCTGGCCGAGACGCACATCCACATTCTCGGGACTTTCCAGAACATCGCCGTTGCTCGCGATGCCATCGTCAGCCTGATTCTCGGCTCGCCCCCGGGCAAGGTGTACAACCACCTGCGCGCCGTGTCCACCCGCCTGCAGGAGCGCTTCTAGGCGCAATGTGTGGCCGAAAGAAGAAGAAGAAGAAAGAAGGCCACCGGGGCGGCCGGCGAGAAGGCGCCGGAGGGCCGGATCGTGTATGTGTGTCTGTGTGCGCGCCCGTGCTGCCATCATATGCGCCCTCCACTTTGATTCACCTGTCCTTGATGCCGGTGGCAGCGCGCCGGGCGTGCTCCGCCCCGTCTCCTCCTCCCCCCAAACACACACACACACACGCACACACACACACATGTCTTGTGCATATGCATGCATCCCCATATGCCGTCCACACGCGCGGGTGTGAGAGCGAGCCCTGCACGGCGCGTGCCTCTCCACCCGGGCTCCTCCTCTCTGTACCAGTAATATATGAATTTCCCTCCTGCCGAGACGGGGGTAGTGCCGCGCCCGGTGCCAGCAAAAAAAAAAAAAAGGGGCGGCGATCGTCTGCGCCACCCGGGTGTGTTCACGCAACAGCGCCGGGCGGCGGCGGGGCACTCTGCCCCGCTCCCCCGGGCAGGGGCGCCGGGGAGGGGGGGGCGGACCCGGGCGGGGGGCCCGTGCGGCCGAACGTTGGAATGTTCTAGCCTGCCGACTGACCGCCGAAGTACCAACTCTCGGGGCTTGCGTCGGGACCTGGGCCCTGGGTGCGGCCGCCTGGGGGGGCGACAGAAGGACGCAGAAGGACGCAGAAAGACGCAGAAAGGCGCGGGAAGGCACGGCGAGATCGGCGGGGGCCTCCCCCGAAGGCCGGGGCACGCCGATGGGCGGGCCGACCCCCAGGGGCCGGGGGGGAAATGGGTCGCTCGCCGTGGCAGCAGGGCGCCCTGCCGGGCCCTCTTTTCAGCGGCCCCGGGCCTGGCAGGGCACCGGGAGCCCTGCACGTTCACCTCCCCTTCCGCACCCCCCCGCCCCCCCTGAGCCCCTCTTCTTTTCTCGCTCCTTCCGCCCCCCCCCCTTTTTCCTCGCATCTACGCCCCTCCCCTCCCCCCCCCCCCTCCCGACATGTCCTCTCTCGACACCCTCTCCAGCGACCTCGAGAGTAGCCTGAGTCTGCTGGGCCGCGCGCGCCATGCCGTGGCCGCCTGGCGCTTTGTGGAGTTCTTCGACGGCGACTCCGGCAGCCCGGAGCACATGGTGCGTTGCCTGTCACTTGCTCGGGTCTCACGCGGCGGCGCAGCCATTCGCTAACCACCGAGAGGGACGGCGGCGGCGGCGGGTCTCCTGACGCACCCAGCCGAAACTCCGGAATGCGGCGGAGTTTGCCTCGCGGCTGTGGGCCGCAATCGAGGCATCCGACGTGCTGCCCAATGTCCTGGACGCCGAGCCGCTGGAAAGCTGGGGCACCACGGACCTGCTGCTGCTCCTGACGCCGGCCATCGCCGCGGACCTGTGGATGCAGTACTACCCGCCGATGAAGGCCTCCTCCTCGGCGGAGGACGAGGCGGCCAGCCAGTCGCAAGCCGAGGGATCGGGCACGCGCCCGGTCCCGGCCATGCTGGAGAATGTGGGCGCGCGGCTGGCGGCCATGGCCGCCTGCCTGCGGCACTTGAACTACTTTGTCGAGCGCATTGAAACCCTGCAGGGCAGCGAATTGGCGGAGGCCCTGGCCGAGGCCGGCGTCGAGGATGAGGCCACCGGCGATGGGTGTCTCCTGTCGCCGCGGGCCCTGGGCACGTACATGCGCACGGTGCGCGAGGTGCAGGCCGCCGGCCGGCGGCTGACCGACGCGGTGGCCGCCTCGCCGGCCGGCGCGTGTCTCGACTTCCCGGTGGCCCTGCCGAATGTCTTCGATGTGGAGGCGGCCTCGGGGGATGGCCCGGCCCCGGGGGCAGTTGCCCTGGCGGCCGGTCTGCCGGCCGGGGCCGGCCCCGGGTCGCCGGCCATGGCGGCCGCCGAGGAGGAGCGCCGCCGGCGGATTGCCCTGTACAAGCGGAACAAGGCCCTGACCGGGCGCATCGAGCAGCTGGCCGGCATGCTGTTCCCGAGTGCCGGGGCGGAGCGCGCGGCCGCGGCCACGGTGGCCGGGGGCGCGGGGGCGGCCAACGCCGCGGCCGCCGCGGCCGCCGCGGCCGCCGCCCATGTGGGCGCCGGCGACGATGCCGAGGATGTCCTCGGCCAGGATGCCGACGAGTCGACGCTCCGGTCGTTCCTGCTGGCTACATTGGCGCTGCTGGCGCCGCGGGCTCTGGCGCACGCGCGCGCCGTGGCCGACGAGCTGCCGATGCTGACCTCGCGCGCGGTGCACGCGGCCACCGGGGTGGACCCGCGGGTGGCGGCTGCCGCGCGGGCCCCGCCGCTGCGCACCCCGGTCCGCCTGATGCCGGACAATCCCCACCGGCGGGCCGCCCTGCAGGAGCAGGTCTTCCGCCCGGGGCACCGCCTGCCGACCATGACCATCTCCGAGTACCTGGATCGCGAGGCCCAGCGCGGGGGCCACATCTCCGGTGGCGGCCCGGAGGGGGATGCCCGTGCGGCGCGCGAGGCCGAGGAGAAGCTCCAGCTCGAGGGGACCGATGCCTACGAGGATGCGGCCCGGCTGAAGGCCATCGAAAGCGACAAGTTCACCGACTACAACAAGCGCGGCTCCGGCAACACCTACAACCGGAGCTAGTGGCGGCGAGGCCGGGGGGTGGGGGGGGGGGGGGGGGGGGGGCCCGGGCATGCGCCCCGGCCCCGCAAGCGATCCGCCCCAGGGGAAGTGACCACCCGGTCCGAGAGGCCTCCCTGGTGCCGGCGTCTCTCCGCCTCCAGGTCCCGCGGGGCGCCGGGCGGTCGGCCGGCGCCCTGCCC